AGTGGGGGAGGGGCAAAGAGAGAGGGAGACCCAGAATCTGAAGCAGGCTCCAGGCTCTGAGCTGTCAGTGCAGTCCCCCATGCAGGGCTCGAATCCACAAACCACTAGATCATGACCTGAGCTGAAGTCAGACGCTTAACTGACTGAGCCACCCAGGCGCCCTGGATTTTAGGCTTTTTAGAGAGCAAGGCCAGGGAAGCTGACCCAGATAAGAGAGGAGAGGGTATTTGAGGAAGAAAAGGAGATCGTTCTCTAAGGCAGAGGTTCTGTTGTTTGTAGAGGAAACATCCAAGACAGGGAGGGTTCCTGGGTCATGGATGAGTTTGGGAGTTTCCCACTGCTGTTTGCAGAATCTTGGAGGCGGGGGTTACCTGGGGAGAGGAATTAGCACTGCTCTCAGCTGGGGCTGGTGGCTTTAGGGGGAGAGGCACCTAAGGCAAGGTACCCTGGAACCATTGTTGGTCTCAGGTAGGACCTGGACACTGTTTTGGAATGCCACTCCCCTGGACGGGCTCTGTGGTTCTATTACCTGCTCAGATGGGCCCAAGCTAGAGATACCCCACTGCCCTCCCTGGCCTGCAGGTGAACATGCTGGCCCTCAGCATCTGCACACGGGAAGACTACCAGTCCATGAAGGAATGGAAGGTGGATGACGGGCACATCATTAATATCAACAGGTGAGGCAGGTGGACAAGGGCGAAAGCTCAGATCATCACTCACCCTCCAAGCTGAGTGATCTGTTGCAGTTCATTTGACCTCTTTGGGCATCAGTTTCATTGGTGGTGAAATAGGGACTTAATACCCAGTTAACAGCCAAATGGCACAATTATGGCGAGAGAAAGAATAGTTTATATCAAGTGCCAGCCCCTAGTTGGACTTCTAGGAAGAGCAGGACTTACAGGAGCTGCTTGAATAGCTGGAGCTACATCAGTGGGCCACCAGGATGGCCTGTAAAGAGGTCCCCTTGAGAAGGCTTTCCTGCAGCATCTAGGTGGTGGGGCTGACTGGTCCAGCAGGGGGCACTGCTGGTCCATCAGCAGCTTCACTCTCTTCTTTCCCCTCCTTTCCTCCACCCAGCATGTCTGGTCACCAAGTGTCACCCCACTCCGTGATCCATTTCTATAGTGCTACCAAGTATGCCATCACCACACTGACAGAGGGACTGAGGCAAGAGCTTCGGGAGGCCCAGACCCACATTTGAGCCACAGTGAGGGTGAGGCCTGGCCCTGGTGGGGACTGGGTAGGCACAGGCCTTCTGCACCCCACACTCATACTGTTCAGGATGCCCTGCTGGGAGTGTGAGGGGCACAGAGCTCCTGGGCTCTGCTGCTGCTGGCATGACCCTGAGTAGCCCTTTGAGCTTCATGTCACTGACTTTGAGATGGGAGGGGGCTGACCAGAAGGGAACACAGTAGGTGAGACTGAAGGAGAGCAGGGGCTGTGGGAAACCGTGGCTGTAAACCCAGACTCTGGGCTCTTCCCTGAAAGGCCACATGACCTTGGGCAACTCACTTAACCCCTCCAAGCCTCAGCCTTACTCATTTGTAAAATGGAGATGGTGATACCGACCCAGTGATGAAGTCTTAAGGGACACCATTTTGTAAAACACTTACCTGAGAAGGGCTCCATAGGTGGTAGGTGTCATTGTGATCATTGCTAGTGGCAGCTTTGGGAGGAGGAGGTGGCTGCTGGACATTGGGCAGCCATCACTGTGAAGCAGGGGGGCCCCCGTGTTTTCCATCCTGTCTCTCCCCTAAGCCTAGCTTCTGACTGGGATGGAGGCAGGGCTCAGCTCAGCTCCTGAGCAGGCCCTCTCTGTTGGTCCAGTGCATCTCTCCAGAAGTGGCGGAGACACAATTCTCCTTCAAACTCCACAATAAGGACTCTGAGAAGGCAGCTTCCATCTATGAACGCATAAAGGTGAGGCCTCACTCTGAGGCCAGTGAGCCACTCACTCCCTAAGTGAATGCAGAGGGAACCCTGGCCTTTAGACCACACTCTTCTAGCCAGCCTGTCACCCCTCCTGGAGGGTTGGGGTGGGGATGAAGATGTTGGAGAGGACGTCAGAGGTGGGAGGTTCACTCTGCCCTCACCATCCCTCTTTCCTCCCATACTCTCCAGTGTCTCAAACCTGAAGATGTGGCTGAGGCTGTCATCTATGTCCTCAAGCACCCTTCCACGTGTCCAGGTGAGTCTGGCCTTGACTGTCCACCCCCTGGAAGAGCCCAGCCATCCCAGAGGAGGACAGCAGGGAGGCCTAGCGGGTGGGGAGAGCATCCTGTCTGCTTCAAGCCTTGTGCCTTCCAGCAGATTGGAGACATCCAGATGAGGCCCACGGAGTAGGTGATCTAGTTTCCTGTGGGGAGTTCTGTCTTCCGTCCCCACGCCTCACGGCTTAGCTCCTGCCTCTGGATTTTAGGTGTTGATTTCCAGACTCCTGGATTCTGCTTCCTCTCTCCAACCCACCAGGGGCTACAAATTTTTGGAAGTTTTTATGTCTTATCAAATTACTTCCACCACAAATATGAACAGTGGGCTGGGGAGAGGTTAGGTGTCCCCGATTGTTTTACCTGTTAACTCATTATTGGTCTGCTTCTTAGTCTCCTTGGCCTTTGTGTGCTCTCTTTGGTCTCTTCCTTTTGACCTAGGGAAGGAACTGTGGCCAAAAGGGGGGCTTCCCCCTATCTTCTTGTACCCCAACCCCTGTCCCTCAAGGAGGAGGTGGCAGAGAGAAGCCCTCACCTTCTATCTGAATAGCTATCCAAGGTCCTAGGCTTCCTCCTCTCCCTGCCCTACTGCCCCTATTGCCTCTTCTCTTCACCCACCCCTGTTCTCCAGCCCAGGCTTGGCTTCTCTGCTCCCAGTGGGGTCATCACTCCACACTGACTATGGCAGCTGAATATCAGGCCCTGCCTCCCAACTGGGTTTCACTGTGATAATTAAAAAAGAAAAATTGCAACAACCTACCTTGGCTTCAGGAGTATCTTTCTGTTCTTTCTCCTTTTCTGTGATCAGGGGTGGTTGTGCCTCAGAATTTCTTCCAGGTGAGTGGGAAGGTGGGCGCTTTGGGGCATCACTCCTGGAGTGTGGATTACCTTAGGTAGCAGATGTGGGTTTGGGTTGAGTCTTGGAAATGGGTAGGAGTTTGCCAGCCAGGAAAGAGGACAACAGTGGATACAAGGCCGGGAGGCCAAAAAAGCAGGCAATGTCATGGGAACAGCACAGAATGTAGTGCAGGAGTGAGATGGGGCTGAAAAGGAAGCTGCTGCCTAGATCACCGGAGGTCTGTGTGCTGAGCAAAGAGTCTGGTGATTACCTATGGGCCAAGGACATCAGTTGGCTTGTCAGCAGGTGAAGGAGAGGCACAGAGCTGTCACTTGGAGAATCAGCCGCCACGGGATAGGAAGTTACTGCTGGCGTCCTGTTGACTGATGCTGAGGATTTGACAAGGCAGTGGAGGTGCAGAGGAGGGGCTGGATGCAGAAGCTTCTGAGGAAAATCCCCAGCACCTGGTGGTGGACTGGATGTCGGGGG